GATTATTTTTTAATCTTTCTTACTAATTTCTTATTTTTAATTTAATTTTTTTCATAGTGTATCTTTATACATTCTTATTCCCTAATATGTCATGCTACTTAAACTATAGTGTGAGTAAATTATTTGGTTGGTGCTGGTGGTTTTATTTTCTCTTGTTGGTGGTGCTCATGGACTGTTTTGGGTCAGTTGTTAATTGTGAATTCACTTATGGCTATGGAGCTCAAGAGTATACACTTGCCTTGATTAATATTACTTACACTCATCCTGTGACTGGAAAGATACACTCGGAAAAGAATGAAATTGGAAAATTTACCAGTGGCAAAATAGGGTCAGCAAATGGAGTGGTAGTACATGTTTCAAGTAACAACCATACTATGCATGATGGTTGTAATCCTTTTGACAGTGAAATTATTCCTCATGAACCATGGATTGCTCTGATAGCACATGGATATTGTAGAGATACAATTAAATTACAACATGCTGTGGAAAATAATGCTTCAGCAGCTATAATTTATAGTAATGAGTACAACTCATTTGGACTCCAGTTGCATCATCAAGGTGAGTTTTATATATACAATATATATATATGTTGTAGTGCAATGATAAAGTTGGAAATCAGAATTTTATAATAAGGGATAATGAGTGTAATCCATAGAATGTGAGATTGAATTTTTTTTTTTTTACAGTAGTTGACCGAATTACTTTTCTGTAAGTAATAAGCTCACTGAAGGGTTTCCTTAATACTGTACTTGTAAACTTGAGCATATACTTCATGTTTGTTTGTTTTTTGATTAGTTGGATAGGCCAAGTCTATCCTATTGTCACTTATTTGTATTTGGTTAGTAGTTTAATGCAATAAAAGTGACATAAGGCACATGTAGTGTGAATAAGTGCTAAGTTAGTGGGGACAAGGGAGCATTTGAACTGGGAATATTTATTTTGGGTGGCTATACCTTAATTCAGAAATGATTTAAGTTTAAAATTGGATCAATAGTTTTACTATCATGATAAATTTTATGCACTTACTAAAATACATCAAACTAGTAATATATCAACGTAATAACCGGTGCAAAGTCAGTTACTTTCACTAGTAGTATAATATGAATACCTTCTTTATCTTTATGTGTTTTCATCTTTGAAGTTATTTTTAATGGTGATTGAATATTTGTAAAAGTAACATGAATGGTTGTGCAGATTATAATTGTACTGACCTTTATCATTTGATATATTAATTTTGTATTTACTATAGGCATAATAATGTATGGTGTGAATTATAAGTGTATTGAACTATTTTTATTTTGATGTTTTGTTAATTTGGTAATTTATGATAGGGTTAAAGAACCCTCCCTCCTTGCCATCCTCAATGTTCTTGACTAGTTCAAGAAGTTGGCACCTATGGTCATGAGGTAGATGCTACTGCCTTGCTTTTTAACTGCTAGGAACTTGGAAAAAAGACCTGAATTTGTAAATACTCAGTAAAAATGAATTTATATAAAGCACAAAGAATGCATTCCATATCACTTAAGATTGTGTCAGTTAGAAAGAAGTTCTGGTATTTTTAGTAGTTCAGTGAGTCCTGTGTTAGCCGATGTTAAATCTGTGACAAATGAAGCGTGAAGAGTATTTAATAGGGCACACCTTTATCTTATACTTTCATCATTTTTTTTGACTTTTTTGATGAAACAAACTTGAAATTTAAACATGAAAGACTAATTTTCATAATATGCAAGTAATTACTTTTTGAATTTTTAAACATTTTAGCAATATGTTGGCCCCAATGTGGTTGTTACATCCGGAAAAGGCATAATGTATAATTGCATCTAGCTCATTATAGCAGCCTTGTAAGTATTTGAAACTCTGCATGAACAGGGAGTACAATTAGATTCTTAGTGCATTACATGCTGTAATCTTGTACATTAATATAAAACTTGTTTACCACTATTTGAAAACAAAAAATATCTGTGTGAACAGTACTTAAATTTTTAACAGGCATGTCTGATTTTGTGTACCTGTTGGTCTGTCATATTCTCATTAAGACATGCAAATGGTTCCAGAAAAAGAAAAAAAAAAATAATTTGAATAGTGCAAGAGCAAGATTGACAAGTGGAACCTGCTCAGAAACTACATA